TTTACTAAGAACATTGACTTTACCTTGATAGTGCATTTTATTTATATTGTATTATAATCTTTAAAATCTGTTTCATTGTTTATCCTTTGAAAATCCTTGTGAAAAATTTCAAGAAATGTAAGACACATGATTTATTTCTAAGTTAAAATGTAGTAGAGAGATTTCATTATGAATAAAATAATCATAATTCATGAAATGTTGCATTTGTATAAACAATGTTAGAGAAAGATATAATCAATGGACAGTAAATGATGTTGGGCAAAGGAATAAAACAATGGTTGTTAAATAAAATTACCTTTGTAGTTTCCATTGACATGAATGCTCGATCATCATTACTCATAATAACCAAATGTGGAAAAAATCCAAATATTGGTTAACTGCTGAATGGATAACAAAATGTGTTAATTCAAAATATGGAAAATTATTCCAGCATAAAAAAGGGAAATTCTGCGAATATTAAAAAGTAGACGAACTTTGAAAACTTTGTGTTAAGTGAAATAGCCAGCAAAATTCCCTCTCATATATTTAATTCCTTTTAGGTGAATTATACTATGGGCAATAAAGTATAATCCCAATATGGACCTCTGGCTGCCAAGGAAAGGAATGGCTAACACATATGAGTTATTTATTAGGGCAATGAAAAGTTTTGTGGATTGGAATAGTGGTGTTTGCACAACCTTGTGAACATAAAAAAAATGCAAAGAAGTACACATTTTGAAAGGATGAGTTTTAAAGTTTATAAAAATCATAGCTCAATGAAAATGGTACCAATGAAGAACAGTGATATTCATAATAAGCTGGGAAAGGAAATGTTTTAAAAAATAGAGGAAACATAATGAACATTAAAGAGGAGATTGGATGACTAAGTACAGGGTATTTTTTTTTTTTTGGATTTCATGGGATTTCAGTTTGACTGGACATTGAGCATGTCCAATTATTTGTAAATATGAAGTTTAGCATAAAAAAAAATCTAGTTTTCTTCCTGTCAGGTCAATGTGCTGCCAATAGTGAAGACATAAGGCTCAGTTTTGCTAAGGTGTTACTTTATTCACAGGGGAGAATATACAACAGGAAATATGATTAATACATGTTGACATACCCTGAAGCCTGAGGGTAGAATTGTCAGAGATTTAATTCCCAGATGCTCCCTGGTAAAATAAAATACCTCCCACTTATTTTCAGCTACCACAACAGAACAGAAAGCCCTGCTTGCTTCAGGTAGGTCTATGAGTCTCTAAACTTAAGGAATATTGGGGAAAATTTTTACATTTCAGAAAAAAAATAAGGAATTATTCAATGAATGAGTGTATGTTTTCATGCTCAATTTAATATCTTCAGCAACCTGATAATCAAAAATGTATACTTTTTCTCAGAATTGGGAGAGTCTAAAATTATTAGTATCCATAAAATGACAGTTTAAATTAGTTTAAATGAGTTTTATAGGGTAACTTTAACTGTCTTTATCAGAGAGGCATTACACACACACAGACACACACACACAAAATCAAGTTTATCTTAAATTTCAAAAATGATTTAGGTTACTACAGTTTGAAAAGCAAAATAGAAAAGTCAAATCTAAATGATCACATGTCATTTTGTATTAATAAAAAAAAATCCATCACTGATATTCTCATATTTCTACAGAGACACAGACACTGACAACCATGTGCATGCACTGATCCATAGGATGGTTTGCTTGACCCTAATGCAATTTTGATTTTTTAATGTGAAAGCTCATTTGCATTCTAAAAAGATAAAAAGGGTAATGCTAAATTCTGTTTTCTGTGTATCTTTTTAACACTTTTCTTTGAGTTGTCAAGTGATCACCCATTGGCCCCATACTGTTCCGGTCTGATTAAAACAATAATGTATTTGTAGAAAAATCATCAATAAAATTTACTTTTTGTCTCAACAAATAATAAAGATATATATTAGGAAAAAATCAATAATGTAAAAATTTTCATTATTATTAGACAATGGTATGCTTCTGTCTCTATAACTAATTCATAGTTTTTAATTCAAGCAGTTTTTGATGAATATAGCAATTAACATTTTTGGTCCAGGTGAGTATTTCCAAGCATAGAAATGTTTTGTCCTATTCCATAAACCTGGTCTTTCTATCATCAGTGTTTCATTTATGTTATTTAAAACATAGAATGAAATCAATTCTTTATGGGCACATCAATAGATAAAGAAGTAAAGGAGAAAATTATTTTAAACCATATGTGCAATCGCATATATCATCAATTACATGTACATAGAGAGAGAAGTTTCCACTGCCTGCAAGGGTAACTATTTGGGGTATTTGCCATGATTTACATAATTATCTTAATTGGAAATAGCCTCATCATAATATTAACCAGGATTGATTCTGCACTGCAGACACCCATGTATTTTTTCCTGGGAAACTTTTCCTTATTGGATATCTGTTATGTGTCAGTCACCCTTCCTAGGATTCTGAAGAACCTGTGGACTCAGGACAGAAGCCTGTCTAAGGTGGAGTGTGCCTCCCAAATGTGCTTCTTCCTTATGTTGGGGACCACTGAGTGCTTCCTGCTGGCTGTGATGTCCTACGACCGCTACGTGGCCATTTGTAACCCTCTGCACTACCCTCTAGTGATGAACCACAAGATGTGTGTCCAGTTGGCTGTTGGTGCCTGGGTCACTGGAATCCCAATCCAGATAGGACAAACAAGCCTGATATTCTCTCCGCATTTCTGTTGTTCCAACCAACTCAAACACTTCTTCTGTGACATCCTCCCAGTCAACAAGGTGGCCTGCGGGGACACTTCTCTGCATGAGATCTATGTTTATATAGCAACTTTGGTGATATTTGCCATGCCCTTCACTTTGATACTTTTCTCTTATGGCAAAATCATCTCCACGATTCTGAAGCTGCCAACAGCCAGTGGACGGGCCAAAGCCTTCTTCAGTGTTCTTCCCATCTCATAGTTGTGGTTTTATTCTTTGGGTCTGCTTCCATCACCTACTTCAGGCCCAAATCTAATCATTCTGCATTAACTGACAAACTACTCTCTCTTTTCTACCCAATAGTGATGCCCATGATTAATCCCTTGATATACAGCCTTCGGAACAAGGATGTGATTGCAGCACTGAAAAAATTGTTCCTTAAAAAGTAGTGTGGTGTTTTTTCTACTTGCCAAACAGTTATCATAGAAACATCACACTCTGCATACTACCCTTTATGAAGTTAATCACTTCAGCTTATGATGTACTTTCAGACACTTTTAAATGTTAGTCTATATACTATGCTTTGACACCAGATAAATGAGTCTATTTTCAATGACTCAACCTACAGAATATCCTCCTTTATGAATAAAATAGTATACATCACATAGTTCATATAAAAAGCAAACATAATAAAAACTGAATTCAATCTGGTAAAAATTTTGAAAAATATACAGAAGAATGAAAGATTATTTACCTATATATTTGGAATATCTTCATGATTTTTTTAACACATTTGGATTCTTTCACACAGGTTCTGACCAAGAACTGTTTAATAGGAATGTTAGTTGAGTGAGTAATTGACTGTATGACTGCATAAATGAATGTTGCTATGACCTATGACAGATTCCTAGCAAAACCTAGAGATTTCTGAAAAATCTAGAGACTTTAGAGCATCAATAAACAATAGAACACATTTATTTAACATGCTATGTATCATATGGACTATCTCTAATCAGTTTACCCAGTTTTCACCCTAGTAACATTCTGACAAAGCACATGATATACAGAGAGCAACTACCCAAGTCAGCCAGTTCACTCTGCGTGTATTTCTATGTTCTATGTAGAAATTCCAGCTCCAATGTAATTTTCATGGAATAATTTCATCTTTTCTCAATGACACTCTAAATGGTTGATCATGTACTAATTCATGGTTAAAAAAATCCATCGCCTGTGAGTTTTTTTTTTTTTTAAAGATTTTTAAATTTATTTATACAAGCACTGGGTACAGTCAGAAGCACGGGAGGGTGAGAGAATTCACCAGAGCCAGAGCGGGGAACAGAACATGCAGACTGACGAAAGACACTGCTGAGGGGAGCAGCAGGCGCAGCAGGAGAGGTCTGCGCGCCATGTGGGACCCTCCCGGAGGCCGGGGATAGAACTGGCACTGCAGAAGCTACAGGCAGCTTCGTAGCTCAGCGCTCAACCACTGTGCCACCAGGGGAGGCCCCGCCTGTGAGTTTTAAACGAAAGAAAATATTGAAAATTATTTTCAGAATTACCTTCAATCCACATAATCTTAAAAAAGTGTAATTAAACTAGTCTTTCATGCATTTAGCCCTTTCTAAAGGGTTTAGCATTATTAAACATTTGAACTGATAAATATTGCTCAAATATAACTGTAACTATCACAGAAACACTGCCTCCCGCCCAACTACAGATTCTTGAATCAGCAACTCATATAAGAGATTGCTTCATCTAATTCTAAAATCTGCTGTTAGCAGTTGTTTTGAAATTCTAATATCCTGGGTGTCAGTTATAATTATACCAATGCAGGTTATCTTATTACTGTCCTATACATAGCTATGTTTTACTTCACAAACACAATAAACCCTCCAAACCCTCCACCATCTAACATTACATATTATGTGATAATTACTTATAAATTTTATTCATGGGAGTATATATGTGTATATGCCCCTCTTTTCAACTTTTATGTTCTATGAACTTAATACATGCTCTCTGATGAAGATCTTGATGACCATGATGATGATGGTGGTGGTCACTATGATTTGAAGGGTTATACAAGGCAAGAGATTTGATTTGTAAGAGCAGGAACAAGGAAGTAATACTAGACAAAAATCAAATTGGTTTTACATGTTGCTTTCTTTGTGGAGGATGGAAGGCATTTGTCAGCCACATTACTTAATATCTGATTGAATGATTTATGACTGACTTTCTGAGAGAGCCAAATATGAGATTCAGCTTGATAACATTGGGCTTAATAGAAGCAACTCCATTTCGTACCTGTTTTGGAATCTTATTCTTTATGTTTTGCAATTAGTGAATGGTAAAAATACACCATTTCCTCTGAGGCCCCAGGATTCTTGTAAGATTCAGATATCACTCCAGCATGAAAAAGCATTGGAAAAGTTTAAAGCAACAAAACCTGAAGCTTTGTCCATTTTAGACTTTGTTGCATTTGATATCTAAAATGCATAGAGAAAATATAGTACTGTTATTCAGAGACGGGACTTTCTACAGTTTTCACTATCTAAGCAAGAGAACTGACTTCCTTGCATGAAAGTATTATTTTCTTTTCACTATTGCAATATGTTTAGATTTTTAAAACTGTGCTCCTCAAAACTTTCCTCATCTAAACAGGGAATTATGTAGTCTTAAATCTTTGCAATATCCAGAGAAAATATTAACTAAAATTTATGTCATTATGAACTTATGCCAATTAAATGTCAAATTATGTCTACATTTATACCTTTACCAGAAGTCTAAGATCTTTGTAGTTTCTTGATTTATTTCTCTCTCTACCCTTTGTCTTTCTAATATGTTCATTCATCATGAGGCAGCCTCTGAATTTACCCTCTGGACCTATCTATCATGATAAGTATTTTATCTATCATGGTAAGTATTTCTCATGTATTTTACATAAGAAAATACAAGCAACTATGCAAATCTACACTACCACAAAGAAAAAAAAAATGCAGGATGAACTTTGAAGTAGAGTTCCCATTGGACAAAATATGTTTTTTAAATTGGATGAAAGGAAGGAACACATACAGACTTATAGTAATGACTTTGTTCATTGACAGTATTTTAAAATGTATTCTTAAATTCACACACTAAAAGTTTAAAATTGCAGAGAAAGTAAAATGCACTCTTCTGGTGCAAGTCTCTGGAATTTGACCTATCAATACAGTCATATAACTACAAACACAGTGAAGAAACAGTAGCTTCCAGCCTTCTCCAGAATTCTCACCTGTTGAGTCTTTATTGTTGACAACTCCCATAAACCCATCAGCAGATAACCAGGCTTTGCACATGCACTTCACCCTTTTCCAGAATGTTGTCTCCTTGGAGTAGGATTCCAAAGACTTTGGCTCTGGTTGGCTTTTCACTGGGAGGGAAGTATTGGGAGTTGTCCAAGTTGTGAGGTGCCAGTACTTTCTCTCACTCTTGTTCCTGAGAAGTGAACAACCACCATGCATATCTGAGAAGTTTGTGCACCCACTCCCTGCATGAAGGGCATTAGAGTTGTTTCCAATGTTTCTCTTCTATACACATAAACTTCCTGAATTTTTGTTTATAGGTATTTTTGTAAATACAAGTTTTCATTTCTGTAAAATGGAAAAACACCAGGCTCAGGACAGCTGGATAAATGTGAATGGCAAGTTTATAATGTACTTCACAAAGAACTGCCAGCTCCTTCTCCAGAGTGGTCTCCCATTTAGTGTTCCTTCCCCATGCGTGTGTGTTCTAGTTGCTTCAAGAATTCCCACTTGCGGATTATCAGTGGCTGGCAATGGTTTTATCTTTTTATGATTTTTTTTTAATCAGTCTAATAGTTAGTTGTTGATATTTAGCTACATATATGGTTTTACTATTCATTCCCTAAACACAATTGGTGGAGCAACTTTCCTGACATAATTTACCATTAATTTATCACTGCTTTTGCTATGTTTGAAGCAGCCTGGGGAGGACTGACCCAAGGCAGTGTTTGGGTAGCAGGGACAGGGAAGCTGTGGACCAAGTGAATGCCCCTGGAGCCCTGGGAGTTCAGGTACTCAAACCCAACAAGCACAAGGGGAGGGGAAATGCCCAAAGGTGGTGGCTTTTTATATTGACATTTCTAATGATAAAAAAAAGTACTATTGGTTCATCATTTCATGGTAAGATCAGACAGCTTTGGGTTGTGTTCAAGTCCTTGAGTGGCAGGCAAGAAGGTTTTGTTCAATTAGAAAGTGACCTGGGAAAGGAGCTGATCCCCAGAGTAATGTATAATTGTTATTTAAAGAGCAGGATTTTCTATGACAATAGGACCTATATATAAGTTTGTAATCTCTGTTAAATAAAAGTAAATTGTCCAGCCTCAAAGTAAACCTCTTTTTCTCATTTTGTATCTTTAACTCAGTAACAAAAGTAAGCATTATACTTAACCTCTATCCAAATAGGTAACTGTCAGGTAATAATTTAATTATTTTTGTCAATATGAAATTTATTTCATACAAATACTTAAGTCTATGATTATAGAACCAGCAACAACTGTCATTTACAGAAATATCTGTATTGGGCAAGTGTATGTTTCTTTTATAAGACTCCTTTACATTGTTGCTTTTTTTAATCTTTAAAACACTTAGTCTTTGTAATTTTCTGACTCTCATTCCCATTTCAAAGACGAAAATGCATAGTACCTTGTAGTAAAATCAATCAGTCAATCAATAAAGATTATAGTCATTCTTGGTGAGATTTCGTTCAGAAGAAAACCACATACTTTGGATAGGATTTGGAAAGAATAACATTTTTCACTTTTCAAATGAATTTGCATTGAGAATTCTATTAACTTCATAAAACGGTTGTTCCATTTTTACAAATAAATAGTTGAGTCATGAAAAATGTCTTTAGATTAGAACACTACATATTCTTGATGTTAGTTCTATATATTGTTGCTCTCTTATACTTTCTTTTGGACCTCAGTTTCAGTTTGTATTTCAAATGTATATCCCACTAAAAGAGTAGGGAAAATGGAGAAAGGGGATGGGAGAAGAGTAGAGACTTTTCACAAAGATCATAAAGAGAATAAAGAAATATAAGTTTTGGGGGACAGTAGTTAGCATATTAAAGGCAGATGTATGGGACACTTAAGTCTGAATGATGTAGTGATACATTCAGCAAAAAACTTTAATCATTATCCAAAATCAATCTCTAGATTGAATTAAGCAGGTGAATAAAACATGATTAAACATGTGTAAAATGGTGCAGTTAAAAATAAAAAAAAGTCATGGCTATATTGTCTTTTATACTTAAAATCATATTTTAGTAATCTCGACTTAGTCACTAGTTTCTGATAGTTCTGGAGACTCAGAGCATTTTTACAGTTCCTACAATCAAGTTTCTATTATAAGAATTCTGTAATTATGAGGCATCATTTAAGTATCTGTAGTATTTTAATATGTAGACTGAAATGTTGTAGATGTTAAAATTAATTATCATTTAATCGTCCTATTGTCATTCACAGAAAATGTTCAGGAAGAAAAGAATAAATTTCTTAGAAACGAGACTGGGAAAGAGAGAGAAGAGAGAGAGTGAGAGAGAGAGTTGAGAAAGAGTTGTAATTTTTTAATTGACACCAGGCTGGAAGAAGATGGATGGTCCAACTTTTGGGTAGGAACCATAGCTTCCATAGTGGGACTATTGCAAAGAAAGAAATAAAGTGACTCACTTTTCGTTGTTTCAAGAAAGATTGGCCATCATACAGGACATACTGTGTGGATGAGCACACACAGCACATGTGCAAACAATGACTGGAATAAATGAGGTCTGCAGAATGGGGTCAACAGGTGCGGATGTGTGTAACTCCAGACATTATCAAAGCTGAGTGGTTGTGGATGTCTCTTTTCATGGTGCATGAGAATGCATGTATTAGAAATGCTTTCCTGAACATAAATATTGATGAACTTGCCTCTTTGCTTTTGAGTTTTGATGAAACAGAAAGATTGTTTTATAGTTTCGTTTATCTCCAAAGCAAACTCTAAATAAATGCTATGACTGCTGGTTTCATGGACCTTTTATTGAAAAGTAGAGTTTTAAGGGTTATATAAACCACCATAATATTTAATGATCATTAAATATTTTTTATAATAAAACAGTCTATGCAGAATGTCAAAAATAAACAAGACTGGAAATGTCACAGGAAAAGCAAGACTTTCAAAATAAACTATGTCTTTCTAAATATCATTTGAGATGATATACAAATTAATGGAATGTTTAATAAAATTTGTTTTGAATTGATATTAATAGACCGAATAAAACTATGTCAACTAGAAGGATGCAAATATTTTAGTATTTTAAACCACTGGTAAATAATTTTAAACGATGGAATATTACAGTTGGACCTAAGCTCACTAAAAATGTTTTGAGTGTTTAGATGAATAGCAAAACAAAGAAATATTATGACCCATAGCAGGGGAAAAAAAAAAATAAGGGGATTTTTTTCCTAATTTTGTATTTAATAATTAAAAATACACTTCACCTTACTTTTCAGGTACCTGTCTGCTATAGGTTTAGTGTTTATAAGAAATTGATGTTATATTATCCTTAGCTGATACGTAAAAGAACAAATCTACAGAAAGTAACCTATTTGTCCGTATTATTACTATGCCATTTCTACAGATGTCCTACGAAAAGATGAAATCAGAGGACAATGTTTCCTCTGTGACACAATTTGTACTCATGGGATTTTCTGAACTTCCAAACCTCCAAGGGTTACTATTTGGGGTGTTTGCCATCATTTATATGATTATCTTAATAGGAAATAGCCTCATCATTATAGTAACCAGGATTGATTCTGCGTTGCAGAAACCCATGTATTTTTTCCTAGCAAACATTTCCTCATTGGAAATCTGTTATGTGTCAGTCACCCTTCCTAGGATTCTGAAGAACCTGTGGACTCAGGAAAGAAGCATTTCTAGGCTGGAATGTGCCACTCAAATGTACTTTTTCCTTACACTGGGAACTACTAAGTGTTTCCTGCTGGCCGTGATGTCCTATGACCGCTATGTGGCCATTTGTAACCCTCTGCACTACCCTCTGGTCATGAACCACAAGATGTGTGTCCAGTTGGCTATTGGCGCCTGGCTCACCGTAATCCCAATCCAGATAGGACAAACAAGCCTGATATTCTCTCTGCATTTCTGTAATTCTAACCAAATTAACCACTTCTTCTGTGACATTCCCCCCATTCTCAAGCTGGCCTGCGGGGACACTTTTGTAAATGAGATATCCATCTATGTAGCAACTTTGGTGATTATTGCAGTCCCATTTATGCTGATACTTGCCTCTTACAGCAAAATAATTTCCACGATTCTGAAGCTGCCAACAGCCAGCGGAAGGGCCAAAGCCTTTTCCACCTGCTCTTCGCATCTCATAGTTGTGGTTTTATTCTTTGGATCTGCTACTATAACTTACTTAAGGCCAAAGTCCAATCACTCTGCTGGAACTGACAAACTGCTCTCACTTTACTACACCATTGTGACTCCCATGTTTAATCCCTTGATATACAGCCTTCGGAACAAGGATGTAATCGCAGCACTGAGAAAATTATTCTCTAAAAAATAATGCAATGAGTTTAATTGTAAATGTAGTGTCTGTTTTGCCAGTTTTCAGCAAAACATCACACTCCCCACATTTCCTTTTAAGTTCATCATGTCAATTTGTGTTGTTCTTTCAGACACTTCTAAATAGTAGCCTACACTTACTGTGCAAGGATCTATACAAGGCAAATTGATCTATCTTCAATGTTCCATACCCATAGAATAGATTGTTTCTGTAAAAAAAAATAATATGCATGAGAGAGTCCATATAAAAACTAAAAACCAAATGAATTCAATCTGCTAAAAATTTTGACTAAAATGTATAAATGGTTATAAGATATTTACATAAATGTTTTAAAAATATTTGCTGTATTATTTGGTAGCATTTTGGAATTCTGCCACAAACAATGACCAAGAACAGTTTAACATGAATGTTTGTTGAGTGAGTAATTGACTGTGTGAATGAATAAATAAATATTGCTATGACCTATAACAGATCGCTGCCCTGGCAAAATCCAGGGATTTTGAGGATCAGTAAACAATGTGGCGTATTTGTTTAACATGCAATGAATCTATGTGAATTTCACTCATCATAACAGCAGCTTACCTTCACCCAGTTTTCTTCTTGATAAGTTTCTAATGAAGCACATGATATACAGAGAGCATGCACCCACACTTTACTATGCATGTATTTCTCTGCTCTCTGTAGAAATCTGGTTCCAAAGTAATGTGCTTTGAATTATTTCTTCTTATTTATCATTTATATTTCATTTTAGGTAATAATTTATTTTCATATTATTGAATAAGTTTTTATTAAATACTTTGATATTTTAAATTAAATTATAAGTATAATTGAATTTTAATTTATTACAT